GCCCAGGGCCCATTTACCCCCTCCCAGCCGCTGCTCGCCCGCTGCCAAGCTCGAAAGGGCTCCGGGAGGTGGCTGGGTCCTCTCCCTGCCCAGCGCCGCAGCAGGAGGGGAGATAAGAGGAGGCGGTTGGCAGCGCCAGGGCTCCGGCCGCGCTCGCTGCTCGCTCAGCCCGCACGGCAGAGCAGATGCCGGCTCGCAGGCTTGTCCCCTGGGGTTTCAGCCCTAAAGGAGGCTGCAGGAAAGCTGGGGAGGGACTTTTTACAAAGGCATGTGGTGACAGGATGAGGGGCAATGAATTTAAACTGGAAGAGGGGAGATTTAGACTAGATGTTGGGAAGGAATGTTTCCCTGTGCGGGGGGTGAGGCAGTGGCCCAGGGTGCCCAGAGAAGCTGTGGATGCCCCATCCCTGGAGGGGTTCAAGGCCAGGCTGGATGAGGCTTTGGGCAACCTGGGCTGGTGGGAGGTGTCCCTGCCCATGGCAGGGGGTGGCACTGGATGGGCTTTAAGGTCCCTTCCCACCCAAACCATCCTGGGATCCTATGATTCTATGAGAACTGGAGGTTGGGGTGGGAGCGAGTGCTCAGAGTGGGGAGAGGGAAGGGACTGTGCATGGGAGGATGAGGATGGGTGAGCTGTATCCCATGTGTTTGGTTTCCGTCCCCTGAAAAGGTCCCTTGGCATGTCAGGACGGGTTATTGCCCTCTGTAATGCTTAGGAGAGCTCACAGGAGTGTTTATTTAGTGCAGACATTCCCAAGCAGTCGGGCTGTAGGAGGTGATACTTGCATTACACCTTTTCCAGGTTAAAATTGGTCCAGCGTGAGGATGTCCCGATGTTGGCCATGGCCGGGGGTCACAGAGGTGGGGGGGCTTGCAGTGCTGCAGGAGGGCCATGGTTGCTTCTCCCCCTCCTCTGTTCCATCCCTTACCTGTACACCATGAGATCCCCCCAGAGACCCTGCTCCCACCCCTCAGGAACGCTGGGTCCTTCCCCACCACCCGTAACTGAGCTCCGTCCCCTCCCCATCCCCAGCAACAGCAGCGCCGAATCCCTAGACCGGCTGTACCCCGCCGTGGGCTCCTCCAAGCCTCCCCGAAAGCGGACCACCAGCCAGTGCAAGTCCGAGCCTCCCCTGCTGCGGACCAGCAAGAGGACCATCTACACTGCCGGCCGCCCGCCCTGGTACAACGAGCACGGGACGCAGTCCAAGGAGGCTTTCGTCATCGGTAGGCGATGGCAGCGTGTGGCCGGGCTCCGTCCCGTGCAGGCTGGCATGGGCAGCGTCGGTGCTGCCTGCCCGGTGGATCTCCGGGAGATGTTGGGGGGATTTCTGCCACACAACCTACTTGGGAACTTGAGGCTGGCTCCAGACTGCTCAGCCCGGGAGCTGGGGGAGTCCCCGTGGTCAGTCCAGCGTTGGGTGGGCAAGCAGGGGAGATGAGGGCTTGGCTCTGGGCAGACCATGGTCGGTGGTTTTGTTCCCTCAACTCCTGTTGGCTGGGTTGTCACGAGTTCCCGGGATTTAGTCTGGGCTGGTTCTCATGCCAGCCCTCCCCTTGTTACACAACCACCTAACAAAGGGTTCCCCAGGTTTTGCTGTGCAGTTAGAGTACGTACCGTTGGACATTTTCAAGGATAATCTTGGTGCCTGGTGATCTCCGTCTTGGGAGGTTCCTCCAGCTCAGTGCAGCAGAGCAGGACCTGGGCTCTCGCCCGTGGTTGGGAAGGCAGGTTGTGCGGTTGGTGGCTTCATCCCCTTTTCCCTGGCAGGACTGGGAGGAGGCAGCGCCTCTGGGAAGACCACGGTGGCCACCATGATCATCGAGGCTCTTGATGTCCCTTGGGTGGTTCTGCTCTCCATGGACTCCTTCTACAAGGTGAGGCTGCGTGTCATCTGGCCGGGCTCCAGGGGCTGCCGTGGCCCTTGGCATAACCCCCTGATGGGGAAACGCGATGGAGGTTCAATGACAGCTCATGGTGTCCCCTTCAGAGGGTCTTGGAGCAGGAGAAGAGGTTGCTGTGTGCAGTGGTGGGGAGGGATGGCTGCTGGCGGGGACGGCTGCTGGAGCAGACGGCCACCGGTGGAGAGGGACACGTGGACTAACCCCTTCTCTGTGGGCAGGTGTTGACCAAGCAGCAGCAGGAGCAGGCAGCCAGCAACGACTTCAACTTCGACCACCCCGATGCCTTCGACTTCGATCTCATCATCGCCACGCTGAAGAAGCTGAAGCAAGGCAAAAGCGTCAAGATCCCCATCTACGACTTCACCACCCACAGCCGGAAGAAGGAATGGGTACGGGATGCTGAGGGGAGTGCGACAAGGTGGGGACAGGAGAGTGGGGTGCTGTTTGGACCCCTCCAGCCCCTGCCTGGTGCAGTCAGACTCGTGCAGGCACACTCTGCTCCTTTCCTTGTATTTCGGGTGAGCAGCGCTGCCGTCACGGTCACTAACAACCCAGAGATACCCTGGGCTGGGGCATTGCTGAACACACGGGCTTTAGGCTCCTTTCCAACCCAAACTGTTCTGTGATTCTGTGATTCTCTGTCTAACCACATCGATTCTGACTCCGCAGAAAACCCTGTATGGCGCCAACGTGATTATCTTTGAAGGCATCATGGCATTTGCGGACAAGGAGCTGCTGAAGGTGAGGAAGGGTTTGGAGTTGGTTCCAGGGAACACCTGGCAGGCGTGAGCGCTCCAGCTCGCTCTTCTGCAGACAGATATCACAACACAAAGAGGGTCCCAGCTGCCCTGGGGGTCCTGTGCAGGACTGGATGGGGTCCTGTCCTCCTGCGGTGCTTCAGCGTCACCCCCACAAACCCACCTCTGCCCTGGAGCCAACTGGGGGTGGTGTGGTGGGACCATGTTTTCTCCTGGGGGTCCGCAGTGGGGAGAGGACCTTCTCTCCAGGTTACACCAGCTGCTGTAGCACTTTGCTGTGCAGGAGGAATAGTCCTCAACTCTTGCAGCAGCAGGGGAAGAGCCCCCAGCAGAGGTCAAGCATTTCAGCAGAGACCTTGATCCCAGCCATTCGTTCCCAGGAGCTGGGAGCTGAGTGCTGACCTGGTCCCTGGCAGTGGTGGTGCATGGATAGGACTGGAAATGTGGCTGCCCCATCCCTGGAGGGGTTCAAGGCCAGGCTGGATGAGGCTTTGGGCAACCTGGGCTGGTGGGAGGTGTCCCTGCCCATGGCAGGGGGTGGGCCTGGGTGGGATTTAAGGTCCCTTCCAACCCAAACCATCCTGGGACTCTATGATTCTAAATGTCCCACCTCCACCCTGCGTGCTGTGGCTTGCCCAGCCAGAACCAAACTCTGCTGTAGTTCTGCTGTGCAAAGCCTGCTGTTCCTGGGGCGGACTCCTCCAGCACTTCAGCCTGTCTTGGGAATTACTTGGATACATGAAAAACGCTATAGGAGAGAGTGAGCCATGCACAAACTTAGCCAAGCTCTGTCCAGAAAGTTTCCTTCCCTGCCAAGCACATTTTTTTCACTTTCCTGGAGCAACGCTGACCTCCAGTGGGCAGCTGGGTGAATCCCCAGGAGCTGCCGCCGAGCATCCCTGCTCTGTCTCCCGCTTAAGGGCAGGTCCTGAGCTGACCTGAGCCTGGCTCCCCTCCAGCATCAGCGAGACAGCGCTTGGCTTAAGCCTGTTGGTCTGTGCCGTGGGCTTTAACTTCTCTTGTCTCCTCCTCGCTCTTAAATAACATCCAGCCAAAGCGTTGGGGCTGCTTAGAAGTGGATGCAGGGTCTGGAGCAGGATGGGACTCGAGAATAAGGGGCAGGTGGCAGCGGGGGACTGGCTGGTTCAAGTTCTAGGTTCAAGTTCAGGGCTTGTGGAGGCAAAGCTCCCTCCAGGCTGCAGCAGAGTTAAGCCGAGCTCTGTTAAACTGGCGCTGTGCTGTGTGCGGGGCTCAGCCTTCTGCTTCTGGCTGGTGGAGAAGGTCGATCTGAGTTACACAGCTAACCCCGGGGGGTTTGCTCCTTCCCCTCTCCTTCCAGCTCCTCGATCTGAAGATATTTGTGGACACGGACTCGGACATCCGCTTGGTGCGTCGCCTGCGCAGGGACATCAGTGAGCGTGGCCGGGACATCGAGGGTGTCATCAAGCAGTACAATAAGTTTGTCAAACCCGCCTTTGACCAGTACATCCAGCCCACCATGCGGCTGGCCGACATCGTCGTCCCCCGAGGTACCTGCCCCAAGGCTCCATCCCAGTTGGGACCGGAGAGACCCCGTCCCTCTGCCCCGATCTCTGCTGGCCGGTCCCACCCCCCTGGGGCCGGTGGGGACAGAAGAGTGGCTGTCCCATCCCAAAGCAAAGGTCCCTCCAGCCTTTGGCCAGCCCAAACACTGGCCAAAAGCATGTTCTTGGGAGAAAATCTGCACTTTTCCCTCATCTGATCTCCTGCCCTACCAGCTCCTGGGTTGAAAAGCCAGATGTGACTTGTAGATATTCAATAGTAGGTTACCAAATAAGAATCTAATAATAGCAGGGATGTCTCCTGCTGGATGATGCTTTGCTAGGGAAGGGGAGGCAGGGGGATGGTGTGGTTTTGAACACACTTGGGGAAGAAGCATGTTTCAGGCACTGTGATCCTGACCAGGCTGTCTCTCTCTTTTTTTGCTTTTGGTTCACCCCAGGGAGCGGGAACACAGTGGCCATCGACCTGATCGTCCAGCACGTCCACAGCCAGCTGGAGGAGGTAAGCGCTGCCTGGTCCCCGGGTGTTTGGGGGGGGTCAGCCTTGCCTGCGCAGCCGGGGTGTTGCAGGGAACGGTGCTGGGGGTGCCAAGGGGGGGATGGCCTGGCTTCCAGGTGTGTGTGCCGCGGGGTGTCCCCAGGAACCTGTCCCAGCCCTGCTCCCTCTGTTCCAGCAAAGGAGACTGCCTCGTCCCCGCGCTCGGCTTAATGCAAGGCTCCTCTGCAAGCCGGGGGCCAGCAGCAGCTTCCTTCCCTCCCTGGGAGAGCAAGGCATCTGGGGACAAACCCACCATCCTCCGGTGATGGGAGCAATGCGCCCTCCTGCCTGCAGCCCTCCCAGGGCCAGTATTGCCCCAAACCCTGCGATACTGCAGCTCTCTGGCTCTGGCTTGTCTTCCCCCCCTTGCAGACACTGCTGCACAGTCTTCCCAGCCAAGAGCCCACTTCTGTGTTGGGTTCAGCCCGTGGGTTTCCAAACCTAAAGTCTTCTCATGTTTTACGCCCAGCCTGAGCCCTGGTCCAGGCACAGGCTCCATCACTGGCTTTAACATCTTCTTCCGTGTGTCCTGGGCCAGTCCCGAGCAGTGGTTTGAGCCCAGGACCCTTCGCTCCAATGCCCCAGTTGCATTTTGCTGGTCCCTGAGCAGCACAGCCTCCTCTCCCCGCCCCACGGGTGTAGTTTGATGGTTAACTTGTGGAGATGCTCAGGGCGATGTCCTGGAGGTGGAAGGAGTGTGACCTGGAGATGGACACACTTGAAATGAAAGGGCTCGATTCCTGCGGGCTTTTCTGAGCTCTGGACGCGAGCTGGCACAGGACAGCACGGTGCCTCCTGCGCCCGCTCCGGAGGGACCGCTCGGATGCAAAAGCGTCTCAGCAGGTCCCCCCTCCCAGAGCATCCTGCTCTCCATCTATTGCCGGCAGCAGCTGGGGCTTTCTGACTGCCCAGATTTACAGCACTAAGCTCTGGCAGGTCGGGAGGTTGGTTTCTAAACCCTTGGTGACAGGAGCAAGGACCAGAGCCCTGGCATCGCCGCCAGCACCGGGCTGAGGAGGGCAGGTGGCCGTGGGCACGGGCCAGCAGCGGGGAGATGGCCGTTTCTCCCAGCCCCTGTGATCTGGCCGGGAAAGCTCGCGGCTGGACGCTGCGGGGAGCAAACACGGCAGCTCCCGCCCAGGGTGCTGCTGCGAGCCAGGCGAGGGGTTGGCTTGGGGGGGCTTTCATTGACCTGGGGAGGGGAAGAAGGGGGAAAAGGCTCCATGTGAATGCAGGAAAATATTCCTATTTTTTCCTTTTTTTTTGTCTTGAAACGACCCTGGTGTTGACAATGCTTAATACCGGTTGCGTTGTGTCTTTGTGTTGCTGCCGCAGCGTGAACTCAGTGTCAGGTAAGAGCCCCCCACCCTGTCCTGTCTGTGCAGCCCGAGGCATTTCCAATGCCAGGCACCGCTTGGCCTAATCCTGACCCGTGGACCAGACCGACAGCTCGCAGCACGCACGGCCTCGTCACGCTCAAAGCTGACGAAAAGCCACCTTGTCCTCGTCTTTGGGACCAGCAGGGACAGGGCTGTTCCCCAGGGCTGGATTTGTCCTGTCCCAAAGCTGGGGCAGGGACACGTTTGCGAGCTGGGGACCCCCAGTCTCTGCAAGAGGGGAGGCTTTGTGTCCGGGGATTCTCTCTTATTTCCCTTCATCCTCTAAGACGAACAACTGTTCAGCACCACTCTCCATCCCTGCAGATTAAACATCATTAAGCATCAATTATTAAATGAAACAAAGCGGCTGGAGGGTGCTGGGAGCCCTGCATCCCTCGGCTCTCGGCTGCGGGCACCCGGGAGGAGCGCAGCAGCTTTCCTGCAGGATCTAAAGACTCCACTGCAGCTGCTTGGGGACTGACAAAATACATATGCCCTGATCCAGCAGGATTTCTGCTCTCTCAGTGCCTGCAGGTGGATGCTATAATGTACACGTTGATTTACGTAACCTCTTCAGCATGTGGATCCAGGCGGGACTTTAGTTCTCGCTTCCATTAAGCAGCCAGACAAGTTTCCAGGTATTTCTGTCGGAAGCAGGGGGGATGCGTTACTGCAGATGGGTTTCCATTCAGATCTCCATCGTTGCATGGAGACACTTAACTCAAGTAACCCTAAAATTCACATGTGGCATACCATAAGCTTTTAAAATACCTGTGATGAACAGGGAAAAGACTCTGCTTTACTTATCTCTGCTTAAGCCGTTCATTTCCCAGACTAGGCAGCTGGATGCTTCATTTTCTTTCTGTTTTCTTGTTGAACACCCTGGGGACCAGCATTTCCATACAGACATCGCCGTGCCAGGCTGGAGGTCTGGGTGGGAAGATGCTCTTTAGCTTGGTGAGAAGTCTGTTGCTTTAAAAAATTGCAGGAATAACATTAGAGAGCAGCCGGATGTGTGTGCATATGTATGCCCATATGTATGTGTATATGTACACACATAAAAAAACTCCCTTTCTCTCCAGGGATTCTCCTCTTTAATCAGAGTGGCACTCGGTGCAGGTGATCTCTTTGTGCACCTTACAAATCAAATATTTAATAATATGTCAAGGAAGTATAATGATAACAAGCTTGGAAAGGTAACTCCGACCTCCAGAAATAACTTGGTGATAACCACAGCCGCAGGCATTTTTATGTTCTGTTTAAGGCTCGTGGTTTCCATATATGCCTTTGCCAGAAAGTCTGGAAAAAATTTCCTGGGGAAAAAAAATAAAATCTGTTTACACTCCTGGAGCCCCAGTGCTTTTCCTGCTGCTGTGGTTTCCCATCAGCGGCTCCGCTCTCACAAGAGGAGCGAGGTGGATGGAGGGACGCTGTCAGCTGGGATGTGCTTGGCAAATCTGGGGCTTTTCACCTAAAACAATTCCCAGTCCTCTTGCCCTGAATGGCTTCATCTAAATGTCACAGTTGTTGTTCTGATGTCACCGCCTATTGATGGCCATGGGGATGCAGCGAGGTCTTTGCAGCTGGTAGGATAAAACCTGGATGCTCCCATCTGGCCCCAGCCCGAGGCACGTCTCTGCTCCGTGTGCTCCGGGCTGGCCCTGGGCTGCCTCTCCCAACCTGGAGGGTGCTGGACGGGCAGGGAATGCCTCTCCCTGCCTCTCAGCTGATCAAACGGGTGGATTCTGAGGAGTTTAAGGAAAGTGGTGCCATTCCCTAGCCCTTCAAGCCTTGTTTCCCTCCTGTAACCGCTGGCTGCTGAGGAGCATTGTTGCCTTCCTCCTTATCCCCTCGGAGCGCAGGTCAGACCCTAGCATCCTGCACCTGGGGTAGTTCTTGTCCAGCTTCCCACATGTTTAACCGTGCATGTGCTGGAGGTGTAACCCTGTACCGGCCCCCTTTCCATGCCTGCCCAGGTGAGTTTTCCTCCCCAAGCCCCAGAGCCGCAGCAGCGTGCCCATGCCCGGTGCTCCCAGCCCAGCCCGTTTGCAGCCAGCCCGGCTCTCGGAGCCTGAGCTCTTCTCAGCTAAATTCCCCTCGCCAATCAATATTCCCCACCCGCAAGGTCTCCGTCAGCTTGGCGTGCCCTTTGCCAATTGTGTCTTTAAATATCAGCCCGTGGCGCAGTTTAACAGCCCTTGTTTGAAATGTCAGCCGTGAAAGCCAGCTGCTGTACGTGTTTGAAATGCCTTGACTGCATTAGCTCCTTTGTAGCTGGATGTCTCTTGTCTGCTTCCTGCTTGATAGCATGCTCAACAAAGAGCTGAGGATGTTCCCTGAAGCCTTCCTGAGAGATGGTCACCCCTTTCTCTCTCTCTTTCTTTCTTTCTCCTTTTTTTTTTTTTTCTTTCCTTTAAAGCTTTTGTTCTGAGGGGGAAAAAATAAGTTTCCAAAGTGAGATGTTTTCTTGACGTGCTCGTGGCTGCCCAGCTGAATTTTCCAGCGCAGTCCTGCCTGGAAGGGGGGGACAGACAGCAGAGACCCGCTCCCTCCGTCCCTCCCGGCAGGGCTGGGGAAGGGGCTCCGCTGCTGGTGACGCTGCCGGAGAGGCTGAGCTCTTCCCTCTGCTGCAGCCCCTCTCCAAGGGACGGCGATCCTTGGGGGCTCCAGGCCACCTCTGGGGAAGGACCATCTTCCCGGCGGGCAGTGACGTTCAGCTCAGAGCCAGGTTTCCCCCCATGTTCCCAGTGCTCGCGGTTTTCCAGGCTCTCCGAGGTTCGAGCAGCTTGTTTCTCTCGCGTGCCAGGAGCTGGGCACCCCGTGAGCCCTCGCGCTGTTTGCGGGGTGCCGTGTGGGATGGATGGAGGTATTTCAGGCATGGCCTCAAGAACCTGGGATGGCAGCAGAGGCCTGGGCGAGGGCTGGGGGCTGCCCTCCAGGCTCCGAGAGCTGGTGCTGCAGCGTGGTACCACCTGGGACAGAGAGGGGACAGTGGCACTGCCGTGACTCCGGGGCGGTGCGAGTGGATGGAGCTTTGCTGCCATGGAGAGCAGCCGTGACATGACTTGGTCACCAGGGGAGGAGCGCTGGGGTCTGCACAGCGATGGGCACTGGGCAGGTCCAAGAGCCATGGATCAATCAGGGTTTTCCCCCCCCCTTTGACTAATGACAGTGCTTTTTCCTTTGTTTCATGTCACGTCTGTCCCTCTCCCTTTAAACTCTCGTGTTTCCTGTCTTGTCTCCTCTGAACATCCCTCCCACCTGGTGACCAGAGGAAGCTGCGCTGGGATATGTGAGGAGATGAACGCTAACGGCCGTGTTTTGGTTGTGAACTAACGCCGGGGAGCGGGGGCGAGGGCTGTGCAGTGTGAGCCGCGGCACTAACCCGGGCGGGCAGCTCCCACGGTCCTGCTTTGCTGGGGCTGAGCAGGGAAAATCTGGGGTGGGGGGACTTGGGAGAGCATCCTCACCCTGACCCCAAAATAGGGACCTGCCGCGGTCACCCCAGAAAGCACCATGGGGACCCCCACAGCAGTAAGCAGCTTCCCTGGGCTGCTGGGGACAGGGACCTGAGGAGGGTCACATCCAGATCTCCCTGTCTCCGCGCTGAGCAGCTCCACCTGCGTGGGTGTCACCAGAAGGTGCGGAAAGCTTGGTGACAAAACACTGACAGTGTTCCCGGGGGGCCTGTTGACAGCTCGGGGTGCAGGGGAGGTGTTCCAGGCACGCGGGGCCACTCTCGGAGGTAGGAGGGCTCGGTGGCATCTGCGAGCCAGGTCACACCGCATCCCACCTGGATCACCCTGGGGACCGGGGCAGGAGAGGGGCTGCCCAACCCCGATGCTGGGACATGGCCCTGGGCGG